CAGCCTCTCTGGGCTGCTCCCCTGCCCAGCCCATGGCTCAGGTCACTATTTCTGACTCCCCAGGGCCACCCATCCTGGCCCCAGTGACATGGCAGTGTTGCCAACCTCCAGCTCCTGCAGGCAGTGCCGGGGCTGCTGGGCACGGGGCTGGGATGCGCTGGTGCCCCCAGCCTGCCCTGCTCCCCATGAGACACCCTGGCTGTGAGGTCTGCCCCTCCTCCCTGGGGATTCCCAGCTGCTCCAGCCCCTGCCAGCACCTCACTGTATCCCTGAGTAATTTGGATTTCAGGGCCTGAAGGAAAGCACAATTTAATTCCCAAACTGCTCTCCCATCTTTCAGAGCTTTGAGGTATACCAATGCACAAAGGGCCTAGTGATGGATATGACTGAACAGCAGAAAATGCCACTGGGGAAGGTGGGTTTGCAGTAAAATGAGTAAGAGTTGAAGGAAATAGCAGAAGTGCCTGAAGTGCTCAGGTCTCAGGTCTGAAGAGGGGGGTGTGACATGGACACTCCTGCTCTGGTGCTGCCTGTCTGCCTGCCACAGCTCTCTGGAGATCAGACCTTAAAGGGCTTTCTCTTCCTTGACTCTAAAGCTAGTTTTTCCTGAATGTGTGTTATGCATGAATGTGTCCATTGCCTACTCTATTGTCTTGGCTCCAGGAGAACAATAACATACAAAAGTAGACAACACTAGACAGATGAAAATTCTCTGCTTCCTTGGGATTCTTTCTGTCCCTCTGTGGATCTATGGACAGGACAACTAAAGCTGACAAAGTATCTGGAAAAGCAGCAAAGAGCAGCATTCCTCTCTGACTCCCAGCTCTGCTGCAACCCTGCTATGGAGTAGACTGGAAAGAATCTTCCTTCCCAAGACAGACCAATAATATTTACAGAGCATTTTGTTCCTTAGCACTCCTGTTTTGCACAGAGAAGCCAAACATCCTGTAGACGAGGAAGAATTGGAGGCAGCAGCCCAAAGGGAAAGCATAATCTCCCAGTATGGACAATTCAGCATTGCTGACAAATAAAAGCCACCATGATACCTGTCCCCAGCACTAAAACAGCTAATAATGAATGGGCAAAGGAGCAAATCTGAGCATGTAATGGAATTCTGTGGAACACCACAATGAGATTATTCTTTTAGGATCCAATTCCATTTGTGAAACCAGTTGGACCCTATTTTCAAACAAGGAGTATAACATTTCCTTGATCATGAAAATCCATTCTTATTATTCTATTTTTTTTTTAATCAAAGCTTGAATAGCCCATATATTTTACCCAAGCCTTTGAGCAATTTTTTTCATTAGCAGATGATGTCATCTCATCAGTAGGTATTTGCTGAGCATCAACAAAGTGAATAGTTTACAAAAGCTGGACTTCTTAGTTTAAAAGAAAGTGTAGAACTGAGGCCTTTTCTTTTTTCTCCCACAGCATTGGCAATACTTTCAAACGTCTGTTTAATCCATTCTGTCAGCAGTCTCACGAGCTGATGCCTCTGTTTGGGTTTGTGTTGATTCTTTGGCCAAGCCTTAAAGCTTTGTGGTTTTTGATATAGAACTGAAAGAAAACCTTTGATGCTTGTGAATGTTGACTGCATGAAGTAAATAATGTGAGGTGGGTTTAAATGTCCTCATTTTTTATTATGCCTTCTAATCTCATGAAACTGAAGGTAAAGAAAAGTCACATGAAAAGGAAATACTATCCTATGAAGTGAAAATATTCTTAATGTTTCTAATCCTCATATCTCACACCCAGAGTCTGTTTCCACACCATGGGAATAGTTATCCTGATGCTCATGCCTCTCTATTTCTAAAAAATAAAATAATTCTGTGGCAGTCAGTCTGCTGATTTGAGGATACACATTCAGCTTTTATTGCAAAAAGGTAGAAGTTGCAAAGGGCGAATATTTAGTTTATCTAGAGGGAATGAAAAGCACTCATGCTTAATGGATAAATCAAGAGATCAGAATTAAGTTTGGAAACTCAATATTTTAGGAAACCTCACTGTTCATCATCACAAAAGGTGTATTTTTGACACATGGTTTGCATGTGGAAATCACTGGCAAAAGAACTTAACTGTAGAAAGATTCAAAGTGGGAGGGACTATTTTGAGAGTTAGAAGACTACTATGACATACAATGACAAATGTGTTTTAAAAAAACCCTTATGAGAAACTTTATGCCTCACAATTTGTTATGTTCTGTCTGCTGGGGTCCAATAAACACCTGGCAGAAACTCTGAACTAAGGACATCATCAACAAACAGCAAAAATCATCATGAACAAATCTTGGCTGACTTCTCTGGCAAGCACAAGGTGAAAAGAGAAGTCCTAATTTTCCTGATAGGGAGTAAAAGATAGAAACAATTAAAGATTGTCAGTCTTTGTAAAGAACTGGCTTGGAGGGAAGAAAAGTAGGACATGCTTAAAAAAATGTGGGCACAGATTTAACTCTAATAATAGGAAAGGAGTTGCCATATCTCTTGGGGTTTGAGACAATGACAGTGACAACTGTTGTGTCTTCCCAACTGAAAGGAATAGAAATGATATTTTAAATACCTTTTTTAAAATTTCTGTACTTTAAAATTTATTTACCTCTTTTTTTTTTTTTTTTCAGCTGAAATGTAAGGAGATATTAAGAGGACTGAAGTACAAAAAATATTTTCCTCATACATCACTCTAGCTTTGCTTTGGGGTGCATGGGAGAAAATGATGGTTTTATTGTGATGGACCATTTCTTTTCCTTCATGTCTCTCAGAAAACTGAAATTTTATTTAACTAACATTCTCTGCAGCTGATGGTTCTGCTCTGACACATCTTTCTATTTCCACAGGCCTTTCCCAACAGTCCAAGGGGTTAATAGGAATCTGTTAAATGCCTTTAAAATACATTTCACATGTTGTTGTAGCTGTTTCCTGGTGTGAATCTCTTATTATTTTACTGAGCCTTTTAGACATCAGCTGCTCCCCTTGCACTGAGCATTTGTAATCCCTCTGATTTGCCTGTGTCCCTGGCACAGCAGTTAGATTACTGAACCTTGGGGTTTTGTCTTGTTTTATACATGACTTACAAATTCCAAAAGTTAAACATTGCAGCTGGACCAAGATGGGTCTGATCTGGCTTTTGCTGCTGGCCAAGGCACATTCCCTGCAGTGACAGGAGACCCAAGGAGAAGGAAGGCAGTGTGGGTTGGCAGATCTGGCATCCAGAGTGAGTTGCTCAGCAGAGGAGGATCACTAAATATGTTTTGGTTTTTTTTTTAAATTTACTTTAATTCCTATCATTTTATTTATTTCTTTATTTTTATTTATTTGCTCGAGGCTGCGTTTCCCTCTGGCCGCGGCTGCTCTTGCGCGCCCTCTGGCGGCGCCGGGCGGCGCGGGCTGCGCGCCGCTGGCCGCGCCCGCGGAGCGCCGCGCACCGCAGCGCTCGATACGCCCCAAAGCATTCGCCATCCTCCTCCTGCCCTGTGCCTCCTGGCTCGGGTAAAGCCTGGCTTTGCCTGCCCTTCCTATGGGCTCAAGTCCGTGGAAACCGCAAGGATTGTTTCGCTGCGGTAGGTGCTTTCATCCTAGACCTGTAGGATGAAAGGATACTTGGGATGTACAGAAAGGGACAGGATATAGCGAATTAAAAGGAAGAAGAACAATATCTCTCATGTAGAATGTTCAAAGGGTTTTCCCACAGCTTCCTGGATGTCTCTATATTGCCCCGTTTCTGCACTGAAGATATTAGATGTGATTTGATCCACAGCCCACTGTAGTTTCCACACCTTCACTGTACTTGGAAAATTCAGTTTTGAAAGCTTTTAAGTTCTTTGTACTCAAGTCTTAGCTTACATATGAAGTGAAGAAGAAACATTTGAGAGCAGAATTTGAGTGATTTTGTTTATTTGTTAGTTTTAAATCAGGAAATTTCAGTAAAGCAATGATATTGGGAGAAAAGGTAAAAAAAAGGGAAGACTGAGTAACTACAAAGTCAATGCAGTAGTGAAGGGCCCCAGGTCTGCCAGAGCACATCCCACCATGGAAAAGCCAGGTGACATTATGGTCTGAGCAGCTGAGATACATGCACAAAAGTTTTAACAAGCTGAGTACCTTATTATTACCTATTTCCATTGCTTTGTTATTATATTGTCTAGACTGCATCGTGGGCTTCTGTGTTATTTTAAAATAAATACTAATTTCTATAGATTTTTTTTTAATCAAGCCCTTGATCTGGATTTATTATTCTGCATTGTTGTAGCTCCAGAAAAGCTTCTACTAACTTTGAGCTCAACTCACAATGTAGAGATATTTAAATACTGTACATTTAGAGAGTAAGACTCTACTTACTAAATTTAGTGTTTCATTTATGCATTGATCCAGACATCTCAGTTATGCTCAGGAAGTCATAAAATTTACTTCCCTCAATACAGCAAGTTTTTCTTACGGAGTTAGTGTTGCATAAAGAAAGAACTCACATACAAGGGCAAAAAGCCTGTGTATTGTAAAAGATCTTTATTTATCTTTAAATTGTACTGCTAAGCTTTGGAAGTATAAAAGGCAATCTTACAAAATAGGACATCCTGAGACACAGTTATGTTAACTCAGTGCCCCCAGAAATCTTCATTCCTAAACACCTTATTATTAGCTGATAACACTGTGGCCTGTGAAATGAATGTTGTGGCTCATTATCTAGTTCCTGAAGCATCTTTAATATACAAAAAAGCACCCATATGTTGCAAATACATGGGTTATGCAAATAAATTTGATCACAGTGATTTTTCTATTGTTACCACCTCAGTTTGAAGAACATCAAGATCATGAGGACAAATCAGAAGGTGTTTTGTCCTTGACCTTAGTGGGGAAAAGATCTCACCTGGAGCCTTTCACACTTAGGGTGTCTAAAAGATTCTGTGTATGAGCCAAAGCTTCTGAGGCCCCTGTTAAGACTGTGCTTTTCTGCTCCTCATGTCTTCCCTGGCTTTTGCAGGAAGGTTCATGCACTCTTTCCTGCTTTTTTGTATTAGGATAAGATTTTCTCTGCTTGTACTTCGCTCAAGAAAAAAGGTTAATTTTCTACTAGGGCAAAGGTCAGTATTGTCTGTCTTCTCCAATATTCCCAGAAGATTTGTGCTTTCTCACACTTACTGATCCTGATTATTCAAAGCATTTTTCTGGTCTCAGTGTACCAGTTTTAACACGTTTTCCAGAGTGTATTATGTGGAGTAGGCAAGTTGCATATAATGTAGCTTTTCCTCTACAGATACCACACCACCTCATCGGATGCTTCTTACTTTGACTGTCACAATTTCTGGCCTTTAAAATACAGAGGTAAGAGTTTAAAGCAGTAATTTATTATTCCACTTGCAAGGAGCAGAGCAAAACAAAACATTTCACTAGAGCCATGTTACTTTAAGTTCTGTCTGTCTGAACCGTTTAAATGAACCATGTTTGGCATTAAGGATGAACAGGAATTATACAGCAATCCTCTTGACCTGGCAGCCCTAAAATAGGGTTTTGTAATGAGAAAGGGAAATGTGTGTTCCTGGATCTGTCATGGGGTGGGAGGGGATTAAAAATGTCAATTCAACAAACTTTTCTGATGGCTAGGGTATGTCAGGGGGCCCAGTGGCCATCACACTACTTCCCTAACTAACAGGTCATTTTGGTCACTTTGGATTCTTTGGTTGAAGTGCTGTCTTTGTGTGCAGGTCTGAACAATGGAACAGGAAACCTGAGTGTCTGTGCATCTCACACACAGCCCCAGCCTGTCTACATCTCTCTGGTGCTACTGTTTTTCTAAAAAACAGATGGACTTTCTTGCTCTGCAGGGCAACTCGTGCTCAGGGACAGGACAACACGTCAAATGTGGCTTTCCAAATTTGGCTGAAGGCACATTTCCACCCTTGCTTTGGTGCTGTGTCCCTGTGACCAGGGTCATGTCCCAGGAACTGCCCCTTCCTCTGCATGCCTGAGCCATTGCCTAGCTCATGGTCACTCAAAAAGAAAACAACAACAACAAAAAGAAGCAGTATTTGAGCAAGCCAACCTTATTTGGGGCCTCAAGGGAGCAATTTCAACTTTGTGGTAATTTAGATAGCCTAGTGTGGGATGACAGTAGCAGAGAACATGTCATGTATAGCCAGCTTGTAGTTTGTGAGAGCAGAAGGCACATTCTCTCATTAACTTTGACTTTATAAATGAAGACTTCATAAAAAAATATTTTGACATGCATTAGGTGATTGAATTAACTTGCAATTCTGTGTTATAGTAATGAAACCAGAATTTTTATTTGAAATTTTGGATAAAGATGTGAAGGAACTGTTCTGAGGTGGTTTTTATTTTTTCCTAAAAGTCTTATTTTAGAAAACAATTACAAAAATCAAAGTCTATTTTCCTATTCAAATCCACTGAGGTTAGAATAGATTAGCATTCACTTAGTTCTCATTGTATACCAAAGAGCTGAGCACATTCTCTCTAAAACAGCAAGGGAAAAGTGAAAAAAACACAATTTAATTACAGGGTTACTGTTAAACCCAAACTAGTGAGGAATGAATAAGTTTTTCTGTTGAAATTCTCTGGGTTCAGAGATTTATAACTTGGTGATAAGATTCTCCTAGGGCAGAATCCTACTGCACAAACATAGTTTGGAAACAAAAGACAGATATTTTTCAGAAACTGAGATGTAATAACTGCTAAAGCAGCAAATGAGAAACATATTAATTTTATTGCAGTTTCATGATTTCAGATCCATTTTATTATCAGAGAAGGAATTTCAATTCTCTACAGGCTTTCTGTGGCACTCAGCATTGACTCAGCTGCTGAAAATTGCACTGCTCCACTGAAGTCAGCAGACCAATAGTGTTTAAGCTGCAAATTTAACACAGACTTGCAGAGGTATCCAGCTCCCAGATCCTCAAGTGGCTTCTGAAAATCCCAGATGTTGTAATAACCTACTGATGATGTGGCTTTCTCATTTTGTCAAACAAGTACTCATTCTTGAAGAATCTGCAATGTGGGATTTTCTAAAAGATTCTTCAGTTATTTTTTCTTTTTCTTTTTTCTTTTTCTTTTTCTTTTTCTTTTTCTTTTTCTTTTTCTTTTTCTTTTTCTTTTTCTTTTTCTTTTTCTTTTTCTTTTTCTTTTTCTTTTT